CAAGAAGCCGGTTTTGGGGCTTATAAACCTCGAGATGTCATTGGACAGAATTTGTAAAATTCGATGCCGCGTAGTGTGAGGTAGTGACAGCGAGGCATGCACTTGTTTGTGTTGAAGCGCACACGGGCGAGATAGCCGCAGGGGTTGCTGGTGGGCTGATGCTGATTCTGGTGGTGGTACTACTCGCGCTGTACCGGAACTGGAGATACGAGCTGGAGCTGGACAGTCTACTATGGAAGGTGGACTACAGGGACATTCAGATGAACGAGGACCATCAGCAATACGTTGGAGCCACTCTTGGTTCCAAGATCGCTAGGGTAACTACAGCATGTTTCAGAAATACCTGCACAAATAAGGAAATTGCAGGGTGAAATGGGACAGATATATATTTTTTTTTTAAATTGGCGGTGAACATGTCGGTGTTGGGAGGACGGAATAGTATTTCTGTCCCGTAACTCATTGACAACTGTTCCATCTGACTTTGTGACTGATGAGTGTCAAACTTCATATCTGTTGTTGCTCTTGCGATAGGCGATACATCCGCTGATACGCACGAGCCAGGTATCCCTTAGTTCGAACCCGGACGCCGATTTCCGCTATTCCACGATATACACCCAGATAGGAATATACAAGGGTCGCATCTTCGCTATAAAGAGAGTGCGGAAAAAATCTGTGGACATCACAAGGGAAATGAAGAAGGAGCTCAAGATGGTAAGAATTTGTATTATCTCCAAATAATCTGGTAGATAATATCGTTACTGATTTTGAAATATTGTTATTAATTGTTATTATGTTCAGATGAGAGACTTGCGTCATGATAACCTGAACGCGTTCATCGGCGCCTGCACTGATCCGCCCAACATCTGCATCGTGACGGAATACTGCCCCAGAGGCAGCCTCAAGGTGAGTCCTACACCGAAATGGCCAAACCCATCTAAATAACATTTAAGAATTCAGTCCGTACCGCGAAGAAAACACAACTCTTCATCATTACGAAGATCAACTGGTTAACCCTTTGAAGCCTACGCTCATCTAAATAATATTTAATAATTCAGTCCGTACCGCGAAGAAAACACAACTCTTCATCATTACGAAGATCAACTGGTTAACCCTTTGAAGCCTACGCTCATCTAAATAATATTTAATAATTCAGTCCGTACCGCGAAGAAAACACAACTCTTCATCATTACGAAGATCAACTGGTTAACCCTTTGAAGCCTACGCTCATCTAAATAATATTTAATAATTCAGTCCGTACCGCGAAGAAAACACAACTCTTCATCATTACGAAGATCAACTGGTTAACCCTTTGAAGCCTACGCTCATCTAAATAATATTTAATAATTCAGTCCGTACCGCGAAGAAAACACTACACTTCACCATTACAAAGATCAACTGGTTAACCTTGTTTAAGGAAATAATCGCTGTTATACAGAAAATTACTCGAAACCTGTAAATACACTCTGCGTAAAAAATTCAGTTGCTGAATATTGAAGCAGACGGTACATATAATTACCACTGGGTTCCAGGACATTTTTCTCACTTTCCTCTGATTCATAGCTCCCTTCAGATATCCTTGTCTTACAGAGATTTAAAAAAGAACGTCAAAGATCCTACATTAAAAATGGACCGTCTTACTAGTTTGTTTAGGCTACACGCACCACGGATGTGTCGGAGAAATTGCCGCATACGTATGGCAGGCGTGATTAGCTTTAGTTTAAATTAAGTCACTTAACTTATGATCCGTGTAATAAAAAAGCGATCCGTTGCGAAGCACTTTGTATTTCTGCCGACATTTTGTACTAAATGTAGGATCTAGTCTGTACCCATAGCAGCAGCAGCAGCAGCAGCAGTAGTAGTAGTAGTAGTGCTTAAGTACAGGCTGTCCCAAAAAATTTGTACACGCTTTCAAAAATGAAATAAAGACATTTTTAATAAACTAAACCATTTCATACTTCAATACTGGTACTGAGTGAATTAACGAATCTATTGTAGATGTCCAAAACGTTTCGTCAAGATAGACCCTGATATCGTGATAGTAACATGGGGGTATCACGTCCTGTTGATACCACGTGTTTTCATTTCTATACATCTGACTAACAGCAGGAACAATTTCGTATTTTAATGTGTAAGAATTTTTGGGGGCACTGTATAGCCACGCTGTTTGTGTTATTTAAAATTCAACCCCCCCTCAATCGTCCACCAGTCGCCAAGACGAACAGTCGAGTTAATAAATTACAAAATTACAGAACCGGGCTCCATTGAAGAACTAAGACACAGAGACGTAATTTCAATCTGCACGGATGTAATTAATTATCTGTCTTAAATACAATTATGTCTGTGTTCTTGCACTCACATCTTTTATTCCTTATAAAAACCCAAAGTTTCGTCTTGTCTTTTCAGGACATCCTTGAAAACGAAGACGTAAAACTGGATAACATGTTCATAGCTTCGCTTGTCGGCGATATTATTCGGGTAAGTGTCTGTGGTGTGGGGCTCTATCACTGTGAAAGTTCCATTATGAAACAAAGCATCGCATAACGAAGCTGGAATTCTCTCTAAGTGTGATCGGAAACCTCAAATCTGACAACTGCCGTTTCGCAAACGGTTTTAACCTCGAGCGGTTGTCCGCCGTGTCTCTGTCCAGGGCATGACGTACCTCCACGACTCCCCACTGAGGGTGCATGGAAACCTTAAGTCCTCTAATTGCCTCGTGGACTCGCGTTGGGTCGTCAAGTTGGCGGATTTTGGCCTCTACGAGTTCAAGAGAGAAGACTTCAGCAGCAACTGCGGCCTCCACATAACAGAGCCTCAGCAGCTGCAGCAGGCTGCAGGCAGATGCGAAGGTAAGGGATCTCACAGCAGCATCTGAGAACAAATCCGAAGTTTGGGTAACTCACAGCAGCATCTGCGGTCAGATGCTAATGTTCGGGAACTCACTGTGGCCCATCCCACTCTCTCTGTATACCTATACGTTGTGATCCTGAGGAAAATGAACATCTTTATTTTCTTATCTGTTTGTGTTCGTAATTTCAAACCATCATGGGCGTTGAATTCTTAACTCTTTATATGCCATGCACGAGATATCCCGATTAGAAATTCTGACCTAGATTCTGGTCTGGATTATTTATGTTTCAGAATATTAGTGAACGAAACCTTCATTACCATATTTCGACGGTTAAAACTTTTTAGCAATAAAAATTATACGTCTCTATATTCGTATACTAACAATAAAATGTTCTTTTAATAAAAGCGAGCGTGTAAAGGTTTTAGAGTGAAATTACTGAGACATAGTCCCTTAGCCGTCAACAGCACGAGTTCTTTACAATTATGAATGGCTGGTAGACTCGGGTACGCGGCAACCATTCGTCTGAGAGAGATAAAAAGTATCGTAGTATGTTTCGAGCCGTATTTCCAGGCAATCGCATGTCTGGAGGGGGAGGACACTCCCTCCCAGTTTGACAAACATTTTGCCTGTCTGGAGAAGGGATTTGTCGTCGAGATTCTGAATTTCGTCGACCCGCGGCTGAATTAGTTCAGTAAATCAAAGTGAGACCGGCTCGCTGTGCTTCGCGGGAAGGCACTCACGGAAATAACACAGCGAGTGCATCACCAGGACAGCTTCGATTCTGACAGTAATATGTCTTTGTGAGTCTCCTTTATTTTTTTTTCGAAATGTTCAACGAAGTTTCCCTCGTTCTATTTCAAGCGTAACAGAATAATTTCTAACATGACTTGTTACCAAATCCTTTTGTGCTGTCTTATGCATTCATATATAAAGTCAGAGTCACTGTTCTGGAATAGTACGTAACATGTGTATGAAAAAATATTTCTTTTTGTTCCCTTAATCTCGAAGTTGCTGCTTCTGATTCCATTTCTATAACTTATCCCT